ACCAACCATAGAAGAAGTATAACAAGAACTAGTGTCACACATAGAATCAGAATCATTGCATGAAACATTATCACTAAAGGAGTTCGAAGAGTGACAAGAATATACCTTAGTTTGTTCATCCTCTAGATTTGCCATTAAACATAAGTTTTCTTTTTCACTACTTGAAGAGCTTGATGAAGCATCCAAGAATACCATATAGGCCTTCTTTTTCTTTTTTCCTTGACCTTTCTTGAACTTGCAATTTTCATATTTAGTCTTTTTGTTCGGGCAGTCCTTTTGAAAGTGACCTTCTTTTCCACACTCAAAACAAGCATTGTTTGAGTTTGCATTACTTGAATTGTTGTCTTTTCTTCTTTGGCCAGTATACCTTTTTCTCCTTTTTTTGAACTTGTTGTTGAAAAACTTAGTGAACGACTTCTTAAACTTTTTCACGAACATTATCATTTCATCGTCTTCACTGGTGCTTGATTCACTTGATGAAGTATCAGTAATCTTCTTACTTTGCATGCTTTCTTTGTTTTCCTTTGAATGAGATGATGAAGCTTTGAGAGCTAATCTCTTTTGTTTCTTCTTGTTAAGCTCACGATTAGCCCTTCTGTTTAGCTCCAACTCATACTCCTGAAGCTTTTCAAATAAAGTGGCAATGAACATTGTGGAGAGATCTTTAGCTTTATAGATAGCCGAAGCCTTTGCATCCCATTCCTTAGTAAGACATCTCAAAATTTTGTTAACTAACAGTTCATCATCATGGAAAATATTTAAAGCATTCATTGATGTAGCTATATGCATGAAGCATTTTTGCATGTCAAATATATACTCACCCTTATGCATCTCAAAGAGCTCAAAATCTCTAGATAATGCATTTTATTTAGAACGCTTTACTTCGCTAGTACCTTCATGGGTTGTTTCTAAAATGAGCCACATCTCACATGTGGTCTTACATGAAGATACCTGATAGTATTCGTCCTAACCAAGTGCATTAACTATCAAGTTCTTTGCTTTTGAGTTGTATTGAGCTCTCTCTAATTCTTCTTTAGTGAAATCTGTGTGTTTTTTAGGCACAGTTCTTCCATTGTCATCTAGTGTTGTTGGAGGCTGATATCCTTCCTTTACACTATACCAAATTTTAAGATCTACTGACTCAAGAAAAATATGCATCCGAGTTTTTCAATAGGGACAATCAATCCCATTGAAAAACGGAGGATGGTTGGTGGAACCACCCTCAAGAGGAATATCCTGATGGAAAGAAGCCATAAGATCTTTAACTCTTTGGCAATGGTCAATCACTCAGAGCACGAAGCTCTGATACCACTTGTTGGGCAAGCGGCTTCTTTAATAAGGATGCGGATGAACACCTAGAGGGGGGGTGAATAGGTGTTCTAGGATTTAAAAAAAATCTTTATGTCAAGTAAACTTAATATTTGATAAATCTAGAATTAGAATCAAGAGAAGCTAACCAAATTAGCTAGATGTTTTATCTTCAATTTTAATAGAATGCAACTGGTCCCTATATGCCCTAATATACTAGAATGAAGTAAGAGAATAGAATGTCGTACCTTGCACCGTGCAACTTCCGTGCGTAGTTAAAAGTTCAAGTATATTAATACAAACTACTTATCCAACTCTTTTTTTAATTTGTGCAGCAAAAATAAGCAGATAGGTAAGTGTAACTATAACCAGTATATTCACTTGACAAAAAAAAAATCAAAGTAGATGAGTATGTTGCAATTTCAATAAGTAGTATAACTTTGTCTAAAGAACTAATAAAATGTCTACCTATATGCTAATCAAATCTAGTGCTAACTTTATTGGCTAAATGGTGTAGCAAATCAAATATTAGCAATTAGACCAAAGTAACAATTTTCTCAGTATTTAAGAATTTTTTTTATTTTTTTTAAGTGCACGGCAAGTACTTACACTACTATTTGAGATATATTCAGTTGGACTGAGATCAAATGTCTAAGACCACTTTACCAAGTGCTAAGAAAAATAGATATGCTTTCAGAACTACAAAATTAATATCAATATGAAATTTAGTAAAGCAATCACAATTTTTTTGTTTGTATAAATCTTGAACTCATAAAATGACAATTATATCTCAGCCAATGTAGCAACTCAAAATTCCAGCAATATTTATGCAAACTAGTATTACTGTGAACACTTTAGTTTGAGTATCATAAACGAGATAAAGACAGATTTGCAAGATTATCAGTGTTTATAGGATATACCAGAAAAGCCCCAAAAATTATGAAGATGAGAACCTTGAAAAACAGATTTGATCGGTATTGAAAGCCAAGGTGTTGGTCTCTTTTGTGAAAAATGAACTTGAACAGGGAGCGCACGCTCAAAACAAGAAAAGTTCTTGGCAAGGCTTTCTCACATATACTCCCTGTTTGAAGATTTGTCCCGTGTAAGGAGTTTTTCTTGAAAAAAATTTCTCTCGTTGAAGATGGAAATTTTGGATGGAAGAAGAGTGCTAGGTCACTTTTTGATGTAGAAGTCTCGTAAAAATTAGAATTCTGAAAGCAATAGGTCTCTGACTTCTTTTATATATGGTAGGGTGTTCGCGGTCTGGATTGGATCGGTTTTAAAGCAAAAAACCATCCGATCCAATTCCTTCGGTTTGGTCATTACATCATCCGATCGGTTTGAATTTTTTTCAAATCCGATCCAATCCGATCCAATTTTTTTCGGTTTGGATTGGATCGGTTTTCGGTTTTTTGAAAAGCCAAAAAAATAAAACTTAAAAGAATTATTTTTAAAAAAGTGACGATGTTTCAAAACATTTCAAAATTCAAACAGTTATCAGAATTGGTTCACATGTCTTGTACATCAGTTAAAGGCTCAAAGATTATGTCACAGCCACACAAAATCAAAGATTATGTGAAACGGTTATCAGAATTGGTTCACATGGATTAGAAGCAGAAGAACTGCAGAGAACGCGAGAGATCTTAAAAACGTTATGTCACAGCCACACAAAATAAAAGGCGATTGTTTGAAACCAACAAAAAATGAAGGAAAATATTATTGCTTCATCACACGAATAACGGGAAGAAATTTAGAAATCTGCTTTGCTATACCTTTATCATGCCCTTGATGCAAATAAAATCAAGTGTTATAGTACCTTTGTTATATGTTTATTTGGCTGTTTAACGGAAGAGACAAACGTTGATTTTTGAGAAGAAAGAGATATGCTACTGGTGCCAGAGCGTGAGTGACTGAGAAGAGTGAGAGACTAAGAGGACGGCAAGAGTGAGTTTGGATGGATTAGGTTTAGAACTTTGGGTGGGTTTAAAACTGATGGGCTAACGCACGAGTGAGTTTAAAACTTTGGGCCGGCTATTATTTAGGATAGGTAATAGGTATAATTTGGTAAAAAAAAGTTTGGATCGGTTTGGATTGGATCGGTTTTCAACATCAAAACCGAAAACCGATCCAATCCAGTAATTTTTTTCGGTTTTTTTCGGTTTTCGGTTATTTCGGTTTTCGGTTTTTCGGTTCGGTTTTTGCGGTTTAAATCGGTTTGGATCGGTTTATGAACACCCCTAATATATGGTGATAAAAAGGTAAAGTAGCTATTTGATGTTATTAAGTGTGGGTTGGCATTCTTTAAATTTTTTACACCCTATGTCCACATCCACTTAAAGTATATCATGTGGTAAGAATAAAAAGAATACATCTACAGACTCTCACTTATATAAAGATTGAATAATAATTTTTTATTATTATTATTATTACAAATTGGATATTATAACATGCACATTATGCAATGGAGCTTAAAAGACATTTTATGATATAAGTAGTGTTTTACAAAAAATAATCTAACCTAATTTTTTTTTATGTATCTAGTGTCTTCAATTTGAATCTCCATTCAAGCTTTAACATTATCAAAACAACATGAACTGATCTGTGGTCCATAAGAGCCTTCATTTTCTTACACTAGGAGCATAAATGGGTTAGACGACCTATTAGAGGCCTATGACCTGGCCTTTGTGTGGCCAAATCTAACCTATTATATTTAGAAAAATAAAATATGCTCAGTCATTAAAAAAATCAGTTTGAAAAATGGTCATAGGTTTATTTTTACAATGTCTGATTTATAAGCTTACATGTCGGCCTATCATATTATTTAATTTTAATTAAAATAAAATAAATACTTAAATAATTTTAGTTAATAAAATAATATTATTTCATTTAATTTTTCTAATTCTAACTAGGTACTGAAGGTTTGATAAACTTAAATAAATTAACAAGTCTAGGCTAGATTTTTTAATTTTTTAATATAAGTCAGGCCAAATTTATAATTTAGATTGCACCAAACTAATAGATCAAACTAGACTTAAAATATTTTACATAGATCTTACTTGTTTATACCAAAACCTAGTGTGACTGAATCCATGTACATTACTCCTACCTTACAGAATTGGTGTGTGGTGTCGAAAGCGGACATCAATCCCGTAATACAATTTTATTTATGCAATAGTTTTGAGCTTGGAAATGTGAACATCATATATATTATTTATTTAATTTTAGATTTAATTTAATTATAGAACTTGGGGCAATTATTTAAATTAACTTAAAAATTTAGGGTTTTTTTTTTTGGATAAACAAAATTTAAGTTATTAGTATATAATATTAGAGTCCACTCCAGCTACTTTGGCCCAAGACGCAGCCCAAGTTAACATATCAGCTTCACATGCTGATATTATAGCTGTAAATGCACCCACGTGATAGAATAAGAAAGCTGTTATAGAAAACTGTTATATATTTCTGTTAGTCAGTTAGATTTAGTTACCTGATTATGCTTGTATATAAAGATAGGTAGTATGTATTATGTACTAACTTTTACCATCAATGAAATTTAGTTCTGTAATTTCTGGTAAGATGGTATCAGAGCTTTAAAGAAGCTCTGGTATTCTTTCTTTCCTTTCCGCTGCATTTCCCCTCCTTTTCACTAATATACCAGTGCTTCCTTCCTCATTTTTTCTTTCTTTTCAACAATGGCACAATCTTTACCAGATTATCTTACCAATCCTGCAAACCCATTTTTCCTTCACCCAAGTGAGAATCCTTCTCTAGTTCTTGTATCTCCAAAGCTGAATGGCAAGAACTACCATAGTTGGGCTAGGGCAATGAAGATGGCACTACTTTCAAAGAACAAAGTAGGGTTCATCAGTGGTGGAATTGTGTCTCTACCAGCAGAAGATCTATTGTTTCTTGCATGGGAACGTTGCAATACTATAGTGCTTGGATGGATTCACCGATCCACTGATGATTCAATAGCAAGATCAATTCTCTGGATCGACAAAGCTTTTGATGCATGGAACGATCTCAAAGTTCATTTTGCCCAATCTGATATCTTCAGAGTATCGGATATTCAAGAAGATATGAACAAGCTTCAACAAGGAAGCATGTCCATCACACAGTACTTCACTGAATTGAAAACTCTTGGGATTGGTTAGATAACCTTAAGCCTCTACCGATTTGTAGGTGTGCATATCAATGCAATTGTGGAGCATTTGATCAGATAAGAGCAGATAGAGATCGTGATTATGTGATCTATTTTCTTAAAGGCTTGAATGAGCAATATGCTCATGTCAGGTCACAAATCATGATGATTGATCCTATTCCTAATGTAGCCCGAGCTTTCTCTTTAGTCATTCAACAAGAGAGACACCTTCAATCTGAAGCAATTGTAGAAGTTTCAAGTGATCTCCGTGCTTATGCAAATATTTCTGATAACAGAAATAAACCGTATTATGGAAGAGGCAGAGGTGGAAACAGCGCAAATAGTGGACGTGGTGGAACAAGGATATGTACACACTGTGGTAAGAAGAACCACACTGTGGGCACTTGTTACCAAATCCATGGATTTCCTCCTGGATACAGAAACTTGCTGCCAATGAGACCAAGAAATGCTGCTAATCATATTGCATTTGGTGACTTTGAAGAAAATGCAAATGATGAATCCAAGAATGTCCAGAATTCGAACCTTTCTTTAACTTCTGATCAATATCATCAGTTAATGAATCTTTTGCAGTCATCTCATCCTCAATCACAGGCTTCGATGCAAGAAATCACAACACCAGCTAGTAACCACTTCAAAACCTTAGTTACTTGTTTAGCATCTAATGCAAAAAATGATGAAAAATCAGGTAATGGTACAGTTCAATGGCTACTTGATACAGGTGCCACAGATCATGTAACATCAGCTCGTTCTTTATTTTCTTCTTTACATCCAATTACTCCTCTCTCTATTACATTACCTGATGGATCATGTGTGCAAGCCTCTTATTATGGAATTATTCATATTTCTCCTCTTTTAACTCTGTTTAATGTTCTATATGTTCCTGAATTCAAGGTAAACTTGATTTCTGTTAGCAAGCTACTTTCTACCATATCTTGTTATCTTATATTTTTCAATTCTTTGTGCTTGATAAAACAGACCTCCACCAAGAAGACGATTGGTACAGTTAAGGCTAAGGATGGATTGTTCGTGATAACTAACCAAATACCAAAACACAAAGGCCAAAATACAGCCCCGATTTCAAGCTACTTTCAATACAACAGAAACAAATAAAGCCTCATTATGGTATCTTAGATTAGGACATGTGTCTTCATCTGTTTTACGTCAAATTTCTTTTCAGTCTCCTTTTATACCTTCAATGAATGTATCACCTTGTGATGTATGTCAGTTAGCTAAGCAACATAGGTTACCTTTTCCTTCAAGTATTACAAAATCCACAAATGTATTTCAACTATTACATGCAGACATATGGGGACCATATTCTGTTCCATCTATTCATGGATATAGATATTTCCTTACTTTAGTAGATGATTTTTCTAAATTCACATGGGTTATTCTGATGAAAACCAAAAGTGAAGTTCGCACAAATATTCAGAATTTTGTTGCTTACATTGAAACTCAATTCAACACCAATTTGAAAACTTTTCGTAGTGACAATGGATTAGAATTCATAATGCCTAACTTCTTTGACAGCAAAGGTATTATTCATCAAAGAAGTTGTATAGAAACTCCCCAGCAAAATGGAACAGTAGAAAGAAAACATCAGCATATATTAAATGTGGCACGAGCACTTTTCTTTCAAGCTCACCTTCCTCAACATTTTTGGTCTTATGCTGTCAGACATGTTGTTCATCGAAGCTCGAAGGTGGAAGGGAGAAAGAAACCTTACCTTCAAGATCTTCCCTACCCAACTATTCAGTTTTTTGTCTCGCTCTCGTCGTTTAGGAACTCATTAATCTCATGCTAAAGGCACGTCAGGTTCAAAGGTATCCCCCCTCCCATCAACCCGGGAGAACCAAATCTGTCTGCATTTAGCATTGACTTCACCTTTCAATGGATTGGCTGCAGTAGCGGATTCTTCTTGTAAATTCAAAACCGTTGGAAAGCTAGCGGAAGCGCCCTGCTGGGTAAGGGCTTCTTCTGGTTCCGGTTAGAAGGATGTAATTTCCTTATGCCCGAGAACTTTAAGGAGGAGTTTACCATGAAAAGGGCATTTTCTTGTACAAATCGCCATGTGTTAGGCAAATCACTTTCAGTTATTTCTGATTTTATGGAAGAAACCGGGCTGAAGCCCCTTTTTCAGGGCGTAGAAGCTTGTGTTCGAGGGGTAGATGTAGGGGGGTTGCGGTTAAAGAGTATTCTATTCCAGATGCCTCCTTTGACCCCTTAGGGATGACTTCTTTTTCGATTAGAGATGTAGAGTGCTTCCTCTTGTGAGGAGTAAAGAAGTCTCACTTCTCCGATTCAGAGAAGTTACTTAAGAACTATGAATGCAAGAAACTTCTACAAATCGGGTGTGTTTAGCAAAACCCAAGGTATTTCAACAACTCTAAAAGCAGGGCGAAAAGGTGTATAAAGCCAAGCCAATGATTAGACTCCTTTTGGGATCTTCCGCCTTTGATCCCGAAGACAAGTCAGCTGGTTTGCTCAATCGGATTAGCCAGAGGCAGGGGTTTCTAGTTCTCAAGTGTACAGCGGGGGCGAGCTATTCGAGTTACTTAAATGGAAAGCGGTCCGGGTAATAGAACTAGTCCCTTTTCTGTCCGGTCCTGAAGACCAGCCAGGCTTATCTAAAGCTATGTAGATAGATCGGATTGACCTCCTCTTTCGTGTTAAGGGGTCCCTTTTCAAGTTGAAAACAAATGATATTCTCAAGTTTCCATATCGAAAGCAGCCTTTTCAACCCCCCTTTATGTATCTTATAAACAGATTACCTACTCCTTTGCTTGATAATAAATCTCCTTATGAGACTCTTTTTCAATCTCTTCCCATTCTCACTCACTTACGTTCTTTTGGTTGCTTAAGTTATGCTCTACTATAGCTTCTCATCGTACCAAGTTTCCTCCAAGGTCCCAGAAATGCATTTTTCTTGGCTATCCAGAAGGTGTTAAAGGTTTTATTCTGTATAATCTTAATTCACACACTATCTTCATATCTCGAAATGTTATTTTTTTTTTAAGATAAATTTCCTTTCTCTCAAACAGATCAGCCCCAACCTACAGAAATATCATCTTTTCCAATTTTCTTGCCTAATACTGACACTGATCTCTTTCCTATATCTTCATCTAATGTCAACACTGATATTATTGCTCCACCAGCATCTCATGTTTCCCCAGATCATCCTCGTCGCTCCACACGACAGAGAACCCAACCTCATTACCTTCGTGATTATCACTGCAGTCTCTCCAATGCCATGGTTCACCAAATGTCTTCAGGTACCACTTCTTTTCCTGTTTCTCATGTTATTTCTTACAATCGTTGCTCACCAAACTTTACTAGATTCTGTCTTAGTACGATGATCCACACAGAACCAAAAACTTATGCTCAAGCCTCTAAACATCCCTCTTGGCAACAAGAAATGACTAATGAATTACAAGCCTTGGAGTTGAATAAAACTTGGTCAATGGTTGACATCCCACCTGATAAGCACATTATTGGCTGCAAATGAGTTTATAAAATCAAACTTCGTGCTGATGGTTCGGTGGAGCGTTACAAAGCATGTCTAGTTGCAAAAGGGTATACCCAAACCAAAGGAGTAGGTTACTTCGACATTTTCAGCCTTGTTGCAAAAATGACAACCGTACGGGTTTTTCGTACTATTGCATTTGCACGCAACTGGTTCATTGAACAGTTGGATGTTAATAACGTGTTTCTTCATGGTGATTTAACTGAAGAAGTTTACATGTCAATACCACAAGGTTATCAGACTTCCAACCTTACACAAGTTTGCAAGTTACAAAAAAGTTTATATGGCCTCAAACAGGCTAGTCGACAGTGGTATTCGAAGCTCTCTACCACTCTTATCTCCCTTGGTTACATTCAGTCCAATGCAGATCATTCTTTATTTGTAAGGAATGCCACATCTTCCTTCACTGCCATTTTGGTGTACGTCGATGATATTGTTTTGACAAGGAATGATAATGGGGAAATTCAATGTGTTAAGCAAATCTTAGATGCTCGTTTTTGCATTAAGGATCTGGGACAACTTCGTTTCTTTCTTGGATTAGAGGTCTCACGTTCTAAAGCTGATATAATGATTAACCAACGTAAATATGCACTTGAGCTACTTGAAGACAGTGGTTTATTGGCTTCTAAACCTGTCACCATTCCAATGTTGCCCTCTACTAAACTTCATCGTGATCAAGACGCAGCCTATCATAACCCTTCCTCTTACCGTCGATTGATAGGTCGTCTCCTTTACTTAACCACTACAAGACCTGACTTGAGTTTTTCTATTCAACAACTCAGTCAGTTTATTTCAGCTCCTTCTCAGGCTCACTATCATGCTGCTACCCAAGTGCTTCATTATATTAAAGGAGCTCCAGCAAAAGGATTGTTCTTCCCTTCCTCCAATGATCTACGTCTATCTGGTTTCTCTGATTCTGACTGGGCTTGCTGTGTTGATACACGACGTTCTATCACAGGCTTTTGTACTTTCTTAGGCCCTTCCTTAATTTCTTGGCGATCTAAGAAACAGAACACTGTGATTCGATCCTCCACCGAGGTAGAATATCGAGCCCTTGCCTCCTTGTCTTGTGAGATTCAGTGGCTTCATCTCCTTCTTCAAGAACTTCAGGTCTTTCACGATAAACCTGCTTCCATATATTGTGACAACAGGTCTGCAATTTATCTTGCTCGAAATCCTATTTTTCACGAACGATCAAAGCATATCGAGATCGATTGCCATATCACGCGTGAGAAAATACAAGCTGGATTGATTCATTTACTACCGGTTGATATCTCTGATCAGTTGGTCGATGTTTTTACAAAGGCACTTCATCCTACTTCTTTTATTTCTATCATTGGCAAGCTGGGACTCTTAGATATCCATAGTCCAGCTTGTGGGGGGTATTAGAGTCCACTCCAGCTACTTTGGCCCAAGACGAAACCCAAGACACAGCCCAAGTTAACATATCAGCTTCACATGCTGATATTATAGTTGTAGATGCACCCACGTGATAGAATAAGAAAGCTGTTATTGAAAGTTGTTATTGAAAGTTGTTATATATTTCTATTAGTCAGTTAGATTTAGTTACCTGATTAAGCTTGTATATAAAGATAGGTAGTATGTATTATGTATTATGTACTAACTTTTACCATCAATGAAATTCAGTTCTGTAATTTCTGGTAAGAAAAACAGATTAATAAATATAAATGAAATATGAAAACCAGTCTTATATGATTATCATATTCTAAGATTTCAATGATATCATGAGTTATTTTTAATGAGATATTCTAACACTCTTTCTTATGTTAAACCTTATTAAGTTTGAGTTTGTTAAATTTAAACATAATTTTTTTTTTGGTAAGCTAAACATAATTTAAATTTAAAGAGGCCTGTTACAAAAAAAAACACACACTTTCTTATATGCCCCTTCTTTATTACAAAATAAATAAATAAATAATAATAATAAAATAAATAAAAACCAGTGGTTAGAGACATGGTTAGACTGCCTATCTTGGATTGGAGTTGGAGGCCAAACTACATCTGACTGAGCCAATATAAGGAAAGAGAAATTTCAACGAAACTAATCTATGAATTTAGGACAGGTAGTTAAAACTGAGTCAATCAATGGAAAAACATTTTAAAGAAAAGCCAATCTGTCTAAAGTTAGACTGAAATAGAGCCGATATGTAAAAAACCATGACAGGTAATATTCTAAAAAACAGGTTAAAACGAAGCTAGTATATGGAAGAGCAATAACAATAACAACATCATATGCGCGTTGTTGGTGTTTCAAGGCTGTTGTTGATGTCCTATTTTTTAGGAGTTAATTAGTTGTTTTTTAAATTGATTAGTATTTTGTTTAGGAGTTTGTTTACTGCATTTTACTGTTATTGCTTTGTTAGTTTGTTGCTGATTTTGTGGATCAACAAAATCAGCTGGTTAGTAGCAACCACATGAGCTCAGTTTTGTATTTAAAAACAAGTTCATTAGTCAGAATAAAATATAAGTTGTTGCACAATATTGTTTCTGATGTTTGTTTTTCTCATAAAAGATCAACATTGGTATCAAGAGCCTTATTGATCTTAAGGGGCTGTGAGTGACTTGAGAAATTAATGGAGGGAGGATCGAGTGGTTTTTCAGCAATGGCTCCACCAATATTCGATGGAGAAAATTATCAAGCATGGGCAGTGAGAATGCAAGCCTATCTAGAGGGTTGCGATTTTTGGGAAGCTGTAGAACAAGATTATGAAGTTGCTCCCCTTCCTGATAATCCAACCATCAATCAGATCAAGTTTCATAAGGAGAGGATAACAAGAAAAGCAAAGGCAAAGTCTTGTTTATATGCTGTTGTCTCACCTGCCATTTTCAGCAGAATTATGGCTTGTGAATCAGCTCAAGCTATTTGGGACTTCCTCAAAGATGAGTATAAAGGAGATGAGAGGATTAGAAGAATGAAGGGGCTGAATCTAATCACACAATTTGAGAGATTGCAGATGAAGGAGTCTGAAACAATTAAGGAGTATTCTGATAAGTTGGTAAATATTGCAAATCAAGCAAGAGCTCTAGGCACTGACCTCTCTGATAATAGGCTAGTGCAAAAGGTTCTTGTCTCCTTGCCCGAAAGGTTTGAAGCAACCATTGCATCTTTGGAGAATACCAAGGATTTGTCTCAAATCAAGTTGGCAGAATTGCTAAGTGCTCTGCAAGCACAAGAGCAGAGAAGGTTAATGAGGCTTGAAGGAAGTACAGAAGGAGCTTTGCAGGCTAAAGAACAGCATAATGTAAGATGGAAGAAAGGAGATGACAGTAGTGGTTCAGAAGCTGCTACAGGAGAGAACAATGCAATCAACTCTAAGAACAATTGGGGCGGGCATTCCTCATGTAAGCATTGTGGAAAGCAGAATCACCCACACTTCAGATGTTGGAAGAGGCCAGATGTAAAGTGCAGAAAGTGTCATAGGCTTGGACACATTGAAAGGTTCTGCAAAAAAAAGGGAGATCAGCAGCAAGGTGAGGCACATGTTGCAGACCAGCATGAGGCAGATCAATTATTTACTACCTCTTGTTTCTCCTCTAGTGCTCCATGTGATAGTTGGCTTGTTGATAGTGGTTGCACAAACCACATGACAAGTGATGAAAAGCTATTTAGAGACCTTGACAAGTCATTGCAGTCAAGAGTGAGAATTGGAAATGGAGAGTATCTAGAAGTGAAAGGTAAAGGGACTGTAGCAATAGAAAGCTATGCTGGAACTAAGCTGGTTTCTGGTGTGATGTACGTGCCTGATATTGATCTGAATTTGCTGAGTGTGGGGCAATTGGTAGAAAAGGGATTTAAAGTGATATTTGAAGAAGGGAAGTGTTTGATCTTTGACTCAAATGGTCAGGAGCTGTTCAGAATAAAGATGCAACAGAAGAGTTTTTCTCTAAATCCCCTTGAGAAGGAGAAAGCGACATTCAAGTGTCAGGCTAGTGATTCAGAAATATGGCACAAAAGGTTGGGGCATTTTCATTACAAAGGCTTACTATTCATGCAGAAGAATGAAATGGCAACTGGGTTACCAATCCTGGAGGAGCAGATCACAAGGTGCAAAGCTTGTTTTTTGGGCAAACAGACAAGACTTCCTTTCAAAGAATCCACCTGGAGAGCTACAAAGAAGCTACAACTAATTCATACAGATCTTTGTGGTCCTCACGTGACTCCTTCACTAAATGGAAGCAGGTATTTTCTTATCTTCATTGATGATTATACTAGAATGTGCTGGATTTATTTTATGAAGCAAAAGTCAGAAGTTGCTGAGATATTTCTCAAGTTTAAGAGATGGGTTGAGACTCAAAGTGGCTGCAAAATTCAAGTCATCAGATCTGATAATGGAACAGAATACACTTCACAAAGGTTTAACACTTTCTGTGAGGAAGCTGGAATTGAGAATCAACTTACTGTTCCTTATTCTCCACAGCAAAATGGAGTTAGTGAAAGAAAGAATAGAACCATTATGGAAATGACTAGGTGTCTGCTGCATGAGAAGAATCTACCAAAAGAATTTTGGGCAGAAGCAGCAAACACAGCTGTTTTTTTGTTAAATAGACTGTCTACAAGGGTACTGGAAAAGGAGACACCTTTCGAAGCTTGGTTTGGTTTCAAGCCATTTCTAAAAAATTTGAAAGTGTTTGGTTGTCTGTGTTTTTCTCACATTCCACAGGTCAAGAGAGACAAGCTGGGAGAAAAAGCTGAACCTGGAATTTTCATTGGCTATAGTCTGGTGTCAAAAGCCTACAAGATCTATCAACCTCAGACAAAGAATGTGATCAATAGCAGGGATGTTCAGTTCCTAGAAGATGAGCAGTGGGACTGGACAGATGAGCCACAAGCAAAGCATAAGGAGGTCTCACTAGATCATGATGAGCTAGTAGATGATGATCCAATTAGAGGTACCAGATCTCTGACTGATATATATCAAAGGTGTAGTGTGGCTGTTTTGGAACCTTCAAGTTATGAGGAAGCTAAAAGTGATCAGAGGTGGATGAATGCTATGAAGGAAGAGTTGGCTATGATAGAAAAAAATCAGACATGGGAGCTGATAGAAAGACCTGAGGACAGGAAAGTGATTGGAGTAAAATGGGTTTTCAGGACCAAACTCAATCCTGATGACTCAGTGAATAAGCATAAAGCCAGGTTAGTGGTGAAGGGATATGCACAGGTTTGGGGAGTTGATTTCTCAGAAACCTTTGCTCCGGTTGCAAGACTAGATACAATTAGAATGATTCTTGCCTTGGCAACTCAACAAGGATGGAAAGTGTATCAGTTAGATGTGAAATCTGCTTTTTTGAATGGAGAGTTGCAAGAGGAGAAAAGCTTTTTTGAAGGTTTATTTGCTGAGAAAAGCTCTCTATGGTTTGAAGCAAGCTCCTAGAGCATGGTACAGCAAGATGGATGAGCACTTGCTGGGTTTGGGTTTCATAAAAAGTCTTAGTGAATCCACTTTATATGTCAAGAAGTTAGCATCTGACTTAGTGGTGGTGTCTCTTTACGTGGATGATATGCTGGTAACAGGGAGTAATAATTCTTAGATTACTGCATTCAAAAGGGAAATGATGAAAACGTTTGAAATGACTGATCTTGGTGAGATGTCATATTTTTTGGGGATGGAGGTTAGACAAACTGAAAATGAAATTTTTATCTATCAAAAGAAGTACTTGAAGGAGATTCTGAAAAGATTCAACATGGAGGAGTGCAAGAGTGTAAGTACTCCAATGGGTCAAAAGAAAAAGTTTCAAACGAAAGATGAATCGAAATCTGCAGATGAAAGAGTTTATAGGAGTTTAATTGGCTGCCTTATGTATCTCACTGCAACTAGGCCAGACGTTATGTTTACCATAAGTGTCTTGTCTAGGTTTCTTAATTGTCCAAGTGAACTGCATATGGTAGCTGCAAAAAGGGTGTTAAGGTACTTGAAAGGTACTCTTTCATATGGAATCAAATTCTGCAGAATTCAGAAGTTTAAGTTGCAAGGGTATTCTGACAGTGACTGGGCTGGATCAGTGGATGATATGAAAAGTACTTCGGGTTATTGTTTTACATTTGGGTCAGCTTGTTTTTCTTGGTGTTCAAAGAAGTAGGAAATAGTGGCCCAATCAACTGCAGAAGCTGAGTTCATTGCAGCTACTGCAGCTGTAAACCAAGCATTATGGTTGAAGAAGCTGATGGATGACCTGCATTTGGAGCAAAAAGAAGGCATAGAAGTATTTGTGGATAATCAAGCTGCTCTAGCTATTTCACAGAATCCAGTATTTCATGGAATAACAAAGCATTTTAAGATCAAGTATTATTTTTTGAGAGAAGTGCAGAAGGCTGGAGAAGTGAAGCTAATGTACTGCAGTTCAGAAAACCAAATTGCAGATATATTCACCAAGTCATTTCATGTTAGTCGATTTGAATTTCTCAGGGAGAAGCTAGGAGTGTGCAGCACTTGATCCAGGAGGAGAATGTTGGTGTTTCAAGGCTGCTGTTGATGTCCTATTTTTTAGGAGTTAATTAGTTGTTTTTTAAATTGATTAGTCTTTTGTTTAGGAGTTTGTTAACTGCATTTTACTGTTATTGCTTTGTTAGTTTGTTGCTGATTTTGTGGATCAACAAAATCAGCTGGTTAGTAGCAACCGCATGAGCTCAGTTTTGTATTTAAAAACAAGTTCATTAGTCAGAATAAAATATAAGTTGTTGCACAATATTGTTTCTGATGTTTGTTTTTCTCATAAAAGATCAACACGCGTGGTGAAACAAGAGCTCAAGACTTAGGGAGGGGAAATAAAAGCAGAGAATTATAGATATTTTGAATAATATTTTCTTTTGTATATTTGTATAATGACAGTGATATATATGATGCGAGATGAAATATGTCACAAGAAATAAAGCACTAACTATTATTGATAGTAATATTAAACTCACAAACCTAATTAAAGAAATAAAAAAATAAAATATACTGAAATATGAAAATCACTTACAAAAATCATGCAGACACTTTATTTTAAGATAGAATATTATATTCTACCAATATAAGCATGATCACTAAATGAGGGAGAGAATTTTTAAGTCCACCGTTTTTGCTTGTGTCCATTCTCAGAATTATTCTTCAATCTTAATTACACAATTGCAGGCCAGGTTACAAGCTAGCTAGAAATATCTCACCGATTAATTGGTGTTGTCTCTATTATCACCAGGAGACGCAGATGCGCTTTTGGGGCCAGAAAATGGCAAAGATGGCTGAATAAACATCAAACTTCCACTTTGACTATTATCGGGTGCTTTGTTCATGAAGCTTGATGCACAGCCATTGACTTTAGAAGTTGAAGGCAAAGTAGAAGATGATTGAAACAGTTCACTCCATTTCATTTTCTGACTCAAATTTTCTCCAACACCTTGGTTTCCTTGAGTGCCACTTCCTGTGCCAATAATTGAAGTAAGTGCTGCTGCCAAAGCTGATTGAAAAGTTGGGTCTGCTGTGATTACTTTTGTTGCTGCAGCTATGGTGTCTGGAAGGGAATGTTGAGGAGGGATTGGATTGTTATTCCTTTGCATGTAGGAATGGTAGATATTTTCCATTGGTTGTCTTCCAAGGTTTATGCTGTTAAGGACGTTCCTGTTATCATATGGTTGAGCACCATAGCTGAGGAAGCCATTGCTCCAAGAATTTGCATTTGATTCGGAGGAACTGAAGTTCAGACTTGTGGAAGAAGGATATGTTGTGGGGTTGTAGTTTGATGTAAATCTACCAAAAGGAGCTGATGAATTGGCTGGATTTGAAGTGAGGTCAAGAGTAATGGTTGGGTGTGAAGCTGAAGATGATAGTGCAGGATGGGACAAGTATAATTGCTTTGATTTGGAACCATCTGATAGATAAAAGTTCATTCCATGAAGATCTGCAGGAGTAGTGGTGGCCATGGCTGTTGAAGGCATTGAGCCAGAGCGAGAGCTTGATGAGCCAGACAATAGCATTGAAGCAGCTGCAGAAGTTGTTGAAGCCATGGCAGTAGCTGAAAGAGAAAGAGGGTGGTTGTGGTTCCCTTCGTAGGTGGTGATTAAAATTGACATGTCCTGAGAACATCTTTGCACCTGAAACATTGCATATCCACGTATAGCGCATGTTAGTACACAATATAATTAATTCTTCTATGGATTACCAGTAGCCGGTTAAGCGTGTAACCCTTTAATCCACTTTAAAATAACCTAACTCTTCCATTCCGCTTTGAAAGGTTGGTTGAAAATTTTAATCCACGCCCATATACTAAAAAGGTGATTTTTTTTAAAAAATTATACTTCCTGTAAATATAAAAGGTATCAAATGAAATAAAAAATGTCATTAATTAAAATTTTTAAAAAAAATTAAAAATCAACTCGACCGACAAACTTGTCTCATGACTGGTTAGACCTATTTTGACCCACTCTTAAACGGAACGGATTCAAAAGTATTGGCAGATTGAAAATCTCAACCCAACCCGCAATTCGTGAGTTAAACGAATAAAGCTTGGACACATTTTACCACATTTTGACAAATTGAAGAGTACTATGTAATAGATACCTGTTTTCTTACGGGGCATGATGGTGCAACTGTGCAACGATAGTAAGCTCGAGGGCAAGGATTTCCCTTTGAAATCTTCTGTCCATATTTCCTCCATTGACATCCATCATTCAACTGTTAAATATTTCAATAAATCAAAAGTGTGAAAAAAATAGCATTTTTATATTAAAACTGTTCAGGAACCAACTCAAACCCAATTAAGTTGAATGAAGAGATGTTTACAGTTGGGGTGTCACATCTTGCTCTCACACAAACTCTAGCTTTCTTTGCAGAATTTTGTTGGGAAACTTCATCCTCTCCTGCATCTCTAATTGTCTTTTGTACCTTATTGGGTGGCCAAGTCTCCCCAGCTTCTTCCTTTGGTAATTCAGAACTATTGGCAGGGCTTTGATTTGGTAAATGTTCATTTGTGCTTCCAGATTTTGATGTTTCAAATTTGCAGTCCAGTCCAAGAGTTAAACCTTCTTTATATTCTTCCTCTTTCAATGGTTTAGAGACTTTAGCTTTCTCATTGTTTCTTGGATTACTTGGAAGTCTTCCAAGACTGAGGGAAACTAGATCTGACTCCTCTAGTATTTCTTGATGGTTATTGTTTACTTTATCAGGAGAATTTGTGTTCTCTTGTTGAACTACATTGTGGAAATGCATTTGCAGTGTCCGGTAATCATTCAGCATTCGGTTCAAACTCATCTTTAATCGTTGATTTTCTTCTATCACTTCACCCATTTCAGCTTTAGCATTTTCAAGCTCATCAACCTACAACCATCCATACATAGATAAGAGAAAGTCCTGATTGTAATTCTCTTATTAGTTGTTTTTTTTATATTTAATATCATAATTATATTTAAAAATCTAGGGTTAATATTTTCTCATGTTACATGAGAAAATATTTTTCTCCTACACACACAATTTAAAAGTGGAGCTCACTCTATATTTTTTCTCTATCATCTATTCTCTCTTCTCACTCTTATATTTAATGAGTGTAGAAGATTAATCTTTTCTCTGTAATATGAGAAAAGATTATCCCAAAAATCTAACCTCTTCCTTTTTGGTTGAGGATGCATTTGGCCCAGCCTCCACCGTTGATCTTTCGATATTAGTCTTGGGTGGCTCCTGTATATATAAAGTCCCAAAAAAGCATAAAATGTTAATATGCATACAAAAATGCAATATTCTCGTTGCTTATAAATCCTTTATTCTTTCTATAATGATATAGATGTTTTGGGAGTACTGCTTCTTAATGCTGGCACAAAAATAGAAACTGAGAATTCAACTAGATAGCGGAATGAAATAATGAGCAAGTGTATGCAATGATGAGGAACGATATGAGAATCTGAGAATCTTTCTCCTTTTTTAATGGTGGGAAGGAACTGAGATTCTTTAGGTTTAGCATGTGCAATGAATTGTCATATTTTAGATATCAATCATATCATTGCTAGCTTTCATGGCACATGCATGAGTCAACTCTTATCAAAGCCGGCGGATATTAATTATTAAAACTCTTTTGAAGCTATTTAAACCAATAAAATGGTAATATATGTTCAATATATATTGCAAATTACGCATGACTGTTTTCGATTATCATTAAACCAAATTCTTATTAAATATTAATCCATGTTATGGTTTTAGGATTATCAATTTGCCGTAGGTCAGTTGAGTAAGACAAGATATATAGAGCAAGTAAAGTAAAAAAACTGTAAGAACACAATCTATCTTAATGAAAGAAATACTATTATCTCTCTCTTATTATATATGTTCTCTAATTATTAATTGAATTTCTTATAACTAAACTGCTGTAATGCAAGCTTAAATGCATACTTCTTTTAATTTAGCGAGCAATTGTTTTTTTTTAATATATTTAAGTTTTGGAAAATATTATAGTCAATAGTAAAAAGAAAATAAGAGAGAAAAAGAGAAAGAACGAGACAAGTTATAATCATTACAATGAATTATCTGGCCATATTATAAACAAATTAATATGATTCGACCTTTGTTTAGTATATTAAGCAGTTACCACAACATGAATTTATGATCATCTATCTAAATCTCCACTTTTCTCAACCTATTTTATCTATGCCCGAGTAGTTATTGATGTATTATATTTCAATAATTTCATCAATTATAGACTAGTTTTTATTTGTAAATCTAAAAGAACGTAAAAAACACAAACTAATACCTATATATGATTGAATTACTTCTAACTATATGATATAAATAAATCAAAATCTTTTAAACAACATAGATAGGTTCAACACGGGTAGATGATAATTTTATGTTGAAAATAATTAGAAATTGATTACTCGATCGAATACTAACAAAATGGACTGCAGATGTAGAAAGAAAAAAGAAAAAGAAAATCGAGATCAGAACAGTTTGGTTAATTTTCTTTAACCCTACGACTAACAATCACAAACAGTACCATATATAAACGGGACTTTGAATCAACTCAACATATAGAAAGAAAATAAGATGTTTTGTCATTTAAAAAGTTAAAAAAAAACTCATGGTACTTTATTTTTATTTTTTTTTGTAAATTCATGGTACTTTATTTAGATATTAGTAGAGAACTAATTTTCACCTCGATGATAATCTCTTGTTTACGACGATCTTCATCATCACCAACACTAGATTCACTTCTCCTCTCTTCTTTGGCTCCTTCACCATCATGACCAGATCTTTCTTCTCCAAACTCCATATATGCAGTTTCTTCTTTGTTCTCCTTTCTGGGCTATCTTTTCTTTCTTGATCTGCTTTTTCGCTTTCTGGGTCAGCAAACAAAGCCCCTCTTTCTATGTTAATATAGGGAGGACCTGCATGAAGTATTTGACTCTTGAAAATAATTAACAATGAAAATGAAAAAAAATAATAAAAAAGATAACTATTAATGAACACTAGGTCGAGGTAGCCAACACGGATACACACGTATTACAAAATGTCAAACACAGACCAATCCAGTTGCACCTCAAAGAAAGACAATGTAAAGGGTTATATAATAATTACTATTAATATTGTTTCAGACTAAAGAATTTAATTATATATTTATAAGTAGAAGAATTCAACTTCAACGTTTAAGACAATATGTCAGAGAGAGTGAAAGAGGGGTTGAAGCCGCAATGTTCGGACACCGCCTACTTATACAATGTGGCATCGTTGAATTTCTAACATTACAGAAGTCACATGGAGCCAAAACAACAAGTGTTTCACGGTCAAACTTTTTGCCACCGCTGATGACCGGAGCCATTATTTTTTGTGTATATTTCTTCACCTTCTGATAGAGTCAAGCAATTTTAACCATGTTAGAGAGCTACTTCGTCTTGCCTTGGCTTGTTCTTATTAAATATCTGCAAAAAAGAAAAAAAGAAAAGAAATTGATGACTGAATTGATTAAATAAATGATCTATGTAATTCGTTGTATGTGCTGACTTCAAAATGAGATCATCTCAACTGTCTTAAACATTTTAACACCAAAATATATCCATGCCACCCCCTTTAACTTTTTTTTTGGTTTTCTTTTTTGGTATATATATACCATTATCCCCTTTATTTTACCTTGTCTTTTTATGCAAAGAATCCGGCCACACACACCTAGTTATATATAGAGAGAATTGAAAAGAGGGGTCAAAGTAGGACTTGTGAGAATAACGCTTCCTGATTGGTTCATGCAATGATCTTTTAAAAATATCTATTCATGTTTTAAGTTCTTGCTTTTACGTTTCAAACCATTTATTTTAAAATATTATTGTCCTTTCTAAGCTTTGTGGCCCACCGACGTCTAAAGGGACATGAGAGAAGATATAATATGCTTTTGAAATTAACTCGAATATCTTCTTTCCCTCTCGTTATATATATATAGGAGTAAGATTTTTTGACACCAGTCACAAATTTAAAGTTTGATACCTCATTTGAGAACTGTTAGATCAAAAAAAATCAATGGTGTCACATGCTTATATATATATAAGCTGCTTAAGATCACTTTATCTCCGGCCACCAAATCATAACCGTACAAAAATAGATCAATGGTGATAAAGGAAGAGAGAAAAAAGAGAATCATAATCATTTAAAGGTGAATAAATTAATATAAAATAAATAAATAAATAAAACGACATAGTTTTGAAATAACCGGAGATAAATATATATCTAGTAGCTTGAGAAATATCTTTTATATATATATATATATATATATATATATATATATATATATAAAAGTATAATAATTCTTATATTCATCATTAATTGTTCATTTTACAAGATTGGGTTAAAGACTTATTATTCCGTTTATTGTAATAGTTTATTTTTTACACTATTGTCTTTTACATGATCATCTAATATATCAGGTGTTATTTTCATTATTTAAAGAGCTGGACTTCTCATAATTATTAAGGTAACATATAATTATCTCCATAAAGGTTGGGGTATAAATTTTGATGATTGGTGCATCTAATTTGTTTTATATCAAATATACCCAAAATTTTGTAAGCTATCAAACTGTCAAATACAACACAAATTTAATGAAAAGAACCTAAATTCTTATTGATAATATCCCATGGAGTTTAGCTTTCTTTTTTGTTTTATAATCAGAAATGAAACAAGAGGTTGTCCAGTTGTGTAGAAGAAATGTCACTAAAAATAGTGATAAAAGTACATACAAGTTGGCTTTCTGTTGAATAATTTTGCATATTGTAGTAGTCATTGTTAATGTATTTCAATAGAGGGACATGCTCCATTTTCAAATGGGAATTTCTATCTTAATTACTTAAATTGAAAATATCATTGAACCATCTTAGATGTCCAAAAAATAATTTAATAATAATTAAATGAGATTTGTCTTTTAATTAAGTTACAATATAACAAAAATATAATTAAAGATAAATGTAGAATTTTTAATTTAATTATATATTAAGAAATTAAAATATGTGTTAAAGATCTGATTTACCTTTTTCAAAGCCTTAATAAGATAAAATTCACGGCAAAAGTTGAGACGCAAACACACATGCATTTGAGTTTGAAATTGTACGTTCAAAATAAAGTATATATATTAAATATTTTTGTGCCAAAAGATAAAATCTCAATAATCTTAATTTGTACAAGGTGGAGGTGCCATTGATATTATTAATATCTAAGAAATTAAGTTTAAGGTTGTGTTAGGAGAAGATCACCTTTGATCTTATCCTTTAGCAACTAAGTCCTAGTTTTTAGCAAGAATAGTTTGTTATTATTCCATGTATAGTTTGTTGAACAGTATACTTTATTCTAGTTGATCCTCCTTGATTCTGTATAACCGACTTGTGTATATATTGGCTATCAGCCATTTCATTAAATATAACAACATATTCAAATCCTCTTAGTTTTCTATATGGTATCAGTTTGAAGGTATCGATCCACTTTCCCAATGGCTGATTCTGATTCAGATTCTTCTGCTGTCAATATCAATGCTAATGACAAGCGTCCCAACCCATTCAATTTTTCTGCATCACAAACAGCAGCTGCAACACCTATAGTGTCCAACCAAAACTCGATTCCCAACCTGAGTCCTGAGCTTCTACAGCAAATTGCCAACATGGTTGTTTCCTCCACTACACCGTCTGCTAACACTACATCCCTTTCTGGTAATCACACTCTGCCTTCTACCTGGTTGGTGGATAGTGGCGCTTCTCAACACATGACAGGGAACCTCCATTTAATCTCCAATGTTACATCTATTCCACCCACTACAATAGGTTTACCTGATGGTGATCAACTTGTTTCCAATCACAGTGGCAGTCTCCAGTTGACATCTCATATTTCTCTTCAGAATGTGTTATATGTTCCCAAATTACAATGCAACCTCATATCAGTTGCTCAATTACTTGCTGATACAAATTGCATCATTTCTTTTACTCACAATGGCTGTGAATTGCAGGACCCCATAACGAGGATCAAGACTGGACTGGGTAGATTGCAAGCTGGTGTTTATGTGCATGACTCATCCAACAACAAATCCATCTCTACTGCATGTGCGGCTCACACTCAACAGAATGCAGATGTTTGGCACCGTCGATTGGGTCACCCTTCATTTCAGTTTTTAAGCTTTCTTCCTTTTGTTACAGTGAATAAAAATAGGGGTCATTCTCCTTCAGTTTGTGACATTTGCCTACGCGCACAACAAACTCGTACTGTATTCCCTATTAGCATTAATAAAACTACTGCATGCTTTGATCTTATTCACTGCGATATCTGGGGTCCATATCAAACTACCTCTCTAACCGGTGCAAGATATTTTTTAACAATTGTGGATGATTATAGCAGAAACGTCTGCGTTTATTTAATGACCACCAAGTCTGAAACGTTCCAATACTTAACTCGATTTCTTCTCATGGTACGTAATCAGTTTAATACCATGGTCAAAATAATACGCTCCGACAATGGATCAGAATTTTGTGCTCATAATCTCCGCAAGGTTTATTCCGATATGGGAATTATACATCAAACATCATGTGTAGACACACCACAGCAGAATGGTCGTGTTGAACGGAAACATAGACATATTTTGAATGTTGCAAGAGCATTACGCTTTCAAGCTAGTCTTCCTATCGAGTTTTGGGGTGAATGTGTTCTAACTGCGGTACATTTAATCAATAGAACCCCCACTTCTCTTCTCCAAGGAAAAACACCATATGAATGTCTTTTCAACCGCACACCCGGCTATGATCATATTCGCATATTCGGATGTCTTTGCCATGCTCATCCACGTCCCAAACCGTTGGACAAGTTTGCAGCTCGATCAACTCGGTGTCTGTTCCTGGGATATCCTTTTGGCAAAAAGGGTTGGAGGCTTTATAACCTTGAAACACATACTGTTTCTGTATCCAAAGACGTGGTATTTGAAGAGAACACCTTTCCTTTTGCACCAACCACAGTCATTCCTACCACTGATATTCCTCACGACCCAAACCCCCATAACCCCATATCACCCGAACCAACCCTTGCTCCACAAAGCCCATCCTTTGATTCCCAAGTTGTTACCAACCCTGTCCCTTTAAATGAAGACACTCTCCCTGTTGAACAGGCTCAGCCCGAATCTGCCCCTACTGTCTCCAATGAGCTTTCTATCCGACAAGAACAGCCCCCAGAAGTCACACATCCATCTGCACCTTTGGGACGTGGTCACCGTTCTCGCCGTCCTCCATCATATCTCCAAGATTTCGAATGCTCCAAAGTCATCGCACATAATCCACTAGCTTCTTCTACTTCTTCCAGTCCTTCCTCAGGTATGGCTTATCCTATTGCTAACTTTGTTTCTTGTTCTAGATTCTCTCCCAAACATCAACAATTCCTTGCTTCCATTTCTTCTGGTGTTGAACCAAAAACATTCAAGGATGCTGTAACTGATGAAAGGTGGCGTGTAGCAATGCAAAAAGAAATAGATGCCCTTGAACAAAATCACATGTGGGAACTCACTTCTTTGCCACCAGGAAAACGTGCCATTCCATGCAAGTGGGTATACCGCATTAAGTACAACTCAAATGGTACAGTGGAGAGATTCAAAGCACGGTTGGTCATTGCCGGTAACAATCAAATAGATGGAGAAGAATACTTCGATACATATGCTCCTGTAGCCAAAATGGTGAGTGTCCGAACACTTCTTGCGGTAGCTGCTGCCAAATCATGGCACCTATACCAGTTGGATGTTACGAATGCCTTTCTACACGGAGACCT